CGTGGATAGTCCAGCCAGGTCCACCACGGAGAACAGAGTTTCTGCTGCAGGTAGGGTAAAGAGAAGTGAACCATCTTCAAGCAGGCAGTGCCACCAGTCTCCAGGACTACAGCTGTCAGCCTAGGTCAGGCTGTGAATGTCTGGGCTGCCAAGTCACATTGAATTATCAGTATTGTCACTGTCCTGGGAGCATACCTTCATTTTGTTTTGTGAGTTTGAAGACAGTGGCCTACTGTCTGGAAGCAGCTGTAGGAAAACCTGCATGTTCTTCAGTAGGAGCAGTGGGAATGCACTGGAAGACACCGGAATTCCACTGCTTTATTTCCCTTGTTGCAAAGTGAGACAGTTAAGGAGGAACTCGCATCCCAACCCACAGGTCATGTGGGAAATGGGGAGGGCAGAGTTAGGGCTAAACCAGTGCACCAGATGGCAAAGATCAGGGCTAACATCATGCCCTGAGGATGTGCTGCTGTGGCAGGAAAGCTCTCGGGGCACATTTACGTGTGTGTGGGCAAACTCCAGTATCAGGTGGCTCTGCTGCAAGAACAACATGTGCACTCGCTGTGGAAGTTATACACAGACGTCCTCCACATGACACAAGTGCCGGGCACACAGCTGCTTCTTGGCTCAAAAGTTCATTATCAATAACCTCCTGCTCTGTTGTTTCTGTTGTATTTTGGGAAGTCTGATTTATCTACATGTACACTTCACCAGTGGGATTGCACAGATCCCGGGTTTCAGCAGCAGCTGGTGCAGCCCCTCACAGGAAACACCCCAAGTATCTCAGTACTCAGAACGTGTAGTAAAACACACCACGTGCTGCCCAAATTGAAATGAGAACTTTTGTTGCATGAGGAGAACTGAAATGAGTGTTGTGAGGCTGCAACCTTACAGAAGCTGCTGTCAGCGGGAAGACACATATACCCTTTGCATTTCCTTCTATACTCATGTAAAATGTTTTGTCACGGGAGGTTGCAGGCAGTGTTTCTATGATCCTGTTCTGCTTCAAAACCTGAAGTTCAGGTCTATTAGAGGTGATGAAAATGCAAGTTTCCTCAGTGCTGAACAACCCTCCTTTAATGGGATGGTGACTCTCATCTTTCCCACATCAGGCTGTAATTTATAAGAGGAAGTTACAGGATATTAATAATTTTTTCTTTCCAGAATAAAAGCTAATTAAATCTGTTGAGTAATAATATGAAAATAAATGAACCATCTTAATTAATGCATATAAACAGTAATGTGATTTGGTTGTTTGGTTTCTATGCATCCTATTTGCATTGAAGTAATGTCTGCATGGATGTAGGCAGTTGCTAAAAGCGGGTATATATCTCTTTACAAGTTGGTGGGTTCCACCTAATTTTTGCTGCATGGATTAGTATTTTTCTAACTTAATGATCGAAGGTTTTCCTTTGTACCTATCTTTTGTTCAACCAAATAAACCCTGAAGCTGAGATCAAAGCACAGCCTCTTTTAACCTCCTTACCCTGAAAGGTTGCGATGGATTTCAAAAGCATTAAGAAAGTATTCACAATCTTGAAACATCTTTTACCCTTTTCAGTGGAAATAAAGAAGCAAAAGGCAGATGGACATGGGTGTGCTCTGAAAGGTGGCATTTACTATGTCAAAGGCTCAAGTTCACCAGCAGTAAGAAAGCGCCGCGCTACATGAACGATGACATTCTTGTTCCTCTGCTTTACACAAAAATTGCAAGCAATTTTACAATCAATAATAGCTATTTTAAGGCACTTAAGCCCAGATAGTTCTGGGAATAAAACCACATGTAATTCCTACAGACCTACTGCTTCCCGGCTCTGGAAGATCAGGGCAAAACGCAGAGTGTAAACCCCTGGCATTCTTGCCTGCTGCAAGAGGCTGTTAGTCACTCCAGAGTAGGCTCTTAAATTGTTCACAGTTTCTGTATGTGCTTTGTTGTTTTTCTGTGCTTACGGAAGCACGTACCAGTTTGGAGCACAAGCAGTGCTTTTTCACATTACTTTGAGGATGAAATTCAAATAATGAATATTTACTTTAACTTCTGTATATTCTAAATGCTAAAGCTGAGCTTATGGAAGAACAGTAGAACTTAATTTAGATGTGTCAATAGCCATGTACTCTCCTCCTCTTCAGTTAATTAATACTAATTCAAAAGATTGAGTTATCAGCCTAGAGAAAGGGCACCTATCTTTGGAACTGCTCATAAATCATCATGTCTTCAAAACTGAGTAAGAAAATAATAAATGTAGGATTAACTGAATAATTAACAGCAGCTGCCACATTCTGTCTCTCTTCTTTCCAATCTAGGAGATGGACTGGTTTGGAATATAGAGCTGTAGCACACATGATGGGAACAACGTCATTTTGTGCTCTGTTTGCTTGCAAGATGTGAAGTACGTAGAAGCACCCTTTGCAAGAACACCTTGCCTGTAACTTCAATTGCTTATTAAATAATAGTGATTTTGTGTTTGTCAGATGAGAGATGGTTTAGAAAGAAAAGGTTTATTTGGTAAAGGTTTCAGAACACTGAAGACTAGACCGACAAGAAAATGGAGTACTTATCCATCACATTGCCATTAAGGTATCCTCTTTTTCCATGAAAAGCATCAAGAAGGAACACTCAAGAACTAACTTTAAAGGGCATTATCTAAAGGTCTTGAAGCCAGATTCACCTCTTCATTCTCTTTTGGATACGCAGAGGAGCTAAGAACGTGGAAATGGCCTACCATGTGCTGGTGCTCAAAACTATTCACCTCTATTGGAAACATCTGACAAGTTCAACTGTCCCCATCAACCTGCCACTACAGAGCACGTGGATTACTTTTCCCAGGATCTAGCTACTCCAGGGGTTGTTTTTCATGTAAGAGCATAAAGGGAAATTGTGTAACTTGGAATCTGGCCAATATTGGTACCCTTGAGGGAGCTCCCCCCTGCAAGGAACTCGAGTTTTACCTAGTAATTCTAATTGCAAAAGTAGTAAGTTATATGCTAATATACCCTATTGATTTCCTCAGAAAGGGCTGAACTAGAAGTCTCAGAGTTGTTAAGCCTCAGACCATGTTGCACATGGGAACTTAAGTACCTGGATTAACCCTTTTTTTAATAATTTCTTCAAAATGCACCACAGTAAGTCACTAAATTGCCATCCTTACAAAGAGTAAAAGCTAAAAACAGAAGTGTTTTTAACATTACTTCTGAATACCAAGACTGTTGCCTTTTCCCTCCCACAAATATATGAAGTTTCACAAGAATGTGTATGCAAAAAAAAAAAAGGAAACAAAAGGATTTAAAAACATCTGCATCTTTTGTACTTACATTTCAGAGCCAGGAAGAAAAAAGAGCCCACAGATGTTCTAATAAAAGGAGGAGAAAGGGCTAAGTCTGGCTTATTTCCAGCCAAAATGGGGCCAGGTAAATGAAACTAAGTCAGTATTTGCACCTCACACCATTTCTTTTCCCCAGGTGGAACCAGAGGTGGTTGACAACTTTCAAAGCCAGAAGCACCCAGAAGACACGATTCTACTCCACAGATTTTCTGCTCTATGTACCTTTGGCCGGCAGAGGCTTCTGCTCCGCAGCATCAGGCTCGGCTCACTGCCTGGGAACAGGGCAGCACACCCCCATGTGCCTTTGGCTTCTCCCACCTGCAGCACAAGGTGATTGATGTTCAAGAGGGTGCTCATAGTTGGGAGTGCAGCCAAATGCCTCATTGTCCCCAAACGTTTCCCCTTCTCTATCAAGAGTTTTCACTGATAACACTTCTCCCCATCTCCATCTAACTAAGATGCGAAGATAAAAAGAACCTAATGCAGGGTGTACGGGGGAAACGGTGTGATGTATCGGTGAAGTACAGTCATCTAGTGGCCAAAAAAGGTATAAAGTCACGGCTAAAGCAGGGGTAAGCAGCGTGTGTAGATTTCACAGCTACAAAACCCCTCACCCAGCATGCTCAGGTTTTACTGGTAGTTTCAAGTAACGTGAAGCAGTACTTCAAGTATCTCACACCACCACATTTTAAACAGTCTAGGTTGTGTTTCTCAGTGAGAGCTGTTACCAGCGCAACATAAACAACTGCTCACAACGTCAAAGCATAAGGAACAAACATCGTACCCATTCAATTCAAATTTGTACTTTATGTTTATTTGCACAATACAAATCACTAAACAAACATTGTATTTCAGTTTCCACTGCAGAGTTTTAGGTACTATTTTCAGTTGCTTTGGCTTGTCCATTACTGGTACCACCTTGATACCAGCCTTACTCTCTGGTGTTTGTCCTTCACACACCAGCATGGGTTATACCTTGGTGTCATACATGTAGCTACTATAACCAATCAATCAGGACAAATAGCATACAAATAGCAAATAGTACAGTATTTTTAATGCTCGGGGAGGTTTTATAGCCTTGCTGGGTGTGAAACAGTGTGCCCTTTCAGAAAACATTAAAGTCACCATCTTCTGAAGGAACAGTGAAACGAGCAGCTCTGGATGCAGAACAGTACACCACCAGGCACTGACTGCGAGATCACTTTTTCCTAGAAAACACCAAATAAATACAAGCAATATATGCAACACAAGCTGTTGTCAGCTACCTATTCTAAGTCATGCCTGTGAAAATACAAATGGGCACATTGTGAATATTTAAAGAGTAAAGTGCTTTTAACATCGAGCAAGTGAATTCATCTAATGTTGTACCACAGGCAAATATATATCCATTGTGGACAAAATAGTCTCCATGCAATTAGTCAGCAGCAATCCCCTGTATTCATTTATAATATTAAACCAGTATATATTACTTCAGTCATACAGGGTTTAAAGTCAGGATACAGCGTGTACACTTACAAGACTCAACCAATGCTCTACAGTAGCATACGTTTTGAGCATTGCTACAGCAAGGTGGCTTTGGGTTTTGTTTCTTTTTTCTTAACCTTTTAAGAAGCCGACCCTTTGATAGTGTAAATGCAGCGTACACTGAAGATACCACTGAACCAGTATGAGAGCTCATTATGCAGCTGACAGGAATGGGAAGAAGAAAAAATCAAAAGCGAATTTAATGGCTGTATGCACTGTGCTCCTCCAGTCTTGCTCTATTTTCACATGCCTCCCTGCAGGTAAGAGTTTAGACATGCAATTCAAGCAAGTGATTGCTTTCAGTTCAAAGACAGGCCATTTACTGCCAAGACGGCCCTCCAGAATTGTGCTGAATTCAATTATACTCCCTTGCCTCAAGTTCAACAACACTTTTTTAAACTCACTGCTTGCCTTCAGCACAATATCTTTGGTTATATCATCCTCCTCTATAGACTTGGTTCCATTTTTGCTACTGAAAGGCATGCCCACGGTTATTTCAAATTTGTACCTATCAAACATTTTCATGTGGCAGTTATGCTTTGTTAGATACTTGAGACGACATAATTCCTCCTCCTCCAGTGTAACGTTTTTGGGGTCACAGACAGGGTAGGTTTCACCATACAAGCATCTCATCCAATCACCAATAAAAAGTGGGAGCATATTTATTGCAGATTCTGCACTATTGTCAATTTCTGTCACACGCACATACTTGAACCGCCCAGTCCACGTCACTCGGTGTCCTTCCAGGTGACTACATAAAATCTGAGTGCGGGCCATGTTTGTCTCCTTCCACGACCGGGGTCCGCAGAGGAAAGAATACTGATTCCACGTCAAGGTGGAGTTGTAAACTTTCATTCCCTCTGACCGATACACATAGAACCAACAGAACAACACTACGGCTGTAATCCACACCAGAATGAGTTTCACAATTGAGCTTCGAGTGAGGGACTTAACCATTTCCACTACAGAGAAGTTAACTTTTGTCCACCAGCGGAAGAGCAGAGGAACAGTACACAAAACCAGAGTCACGACAATTTTCATGAGCTCCAGAGACACAAACCACTTAATGAAATGGATAAGACACATCAGTGCAATGCCTACGCCCAGCACTGGGAGTGCAAAGAGAAACAGAAAATAACCGATGGATGCACGAACGAGCCCAATGCCAGAGGACTCCCGCAGAATGACCACGGAGAGTTCACACCACATAAAGCAGACCAGGTATGGGATCAGGTAACAGTAGGTGCCTTTAAAATTCCGCAGCTGTGCCATTCTGAAGAAAAGATAGAACAAGTACAAAAACAGAAGGCATGGGATGCTTACGTTTATCACAAAGAAATGGCCTACAGGAACAGTAAAGAATGTTTTACCCAAGAACTGCAAGTAGCTAAAATTCCCAGGTAGTACCTGCAATAGGGATAAGCAACCTGCTGCTACCTCAGTCATTAATGCTCTTCGTGTGTAAGGTTCTGCACATGTGCTTAAACTCATGTAACTTGTCACTGTGAAGAAAACTGAGATGGTAGCTAATTCTGAGCAGGGTATGCAGTCTTTGCTTGCTATGGGGAAGGAAAAAATGACAAAGAATACCGAGAGTAAAAAATAGATATATGGCTCTAAGTGATTCCACCCAAAGTTCACCTCAGCTTGCTCAACATCTAGGTTTGGTTCAAAACGAAGCAGTAAGTCAGTCAACGTGCGGAAGTTTTCCCAAGCCTTACTGTCCTGAAAAACTTTCAGTGTGCAAATCACCATAGAAATGAAGGACAAATAGAATATGACTAAGGGAATAACGAAGGCAAAAAACTCAATTGTCAGATTACTGATGATGAAGAAAAAGATGAGAGCATTGATATGGTGTGTTGGAACAATGGTATTCCTGCCTTTGATGCAATATCTATCAGGTATTCTTTAATTTCCATAATGGCATGAAGTGGATATTTTACAACCTGGAAAGACAGAAAGAAGCACTTTATTTATAAGCAGTCCGTTGTCTAACATCAGCTGACACAAAAAAATTTATATTTCAGATGAAAGTTGCCAATAAAATTAGATTACTTTGTCTGAGATTATTAGCTTTATTTTGATTAATTCAGTCAGATGAAGCTCAGAGGCGATTTTGATTTCATGAAAGATGTATTTCATTACCTTTGACACATAATTAAATGGATTCCTAGTCAAATATTCAGCTCTGCTAACTTCATCCTGAAGATAAACTACATGGCTGCAGTCTTGTATCTTAGCTTATTACCTGAGCTGTGAGTACTGTGGCTTTAAAGCACTTAACTTTGCCACTGTTCTGCAAGGATTATGCTATACATTGTGATACACGTATACACTACAGGAATTGGTGCATATGATTCATATGCACTTACAGAAGTCTTTACAGCTGTGGCTTATCTTCAAAACAATTCTTCCCAAGCAGCTAGATATACAGCTATCAAAGTGTCATTTGGAAACAGCATAAATATTTTTAACTACCATTACTACATATTTAGGGATTCTTTTAACTCCACAGCAGTAACTGTACAGGATCTTAAAACTACCTATCTTATGTGGCATTTTCCAACACAGTCACCAGAGAGCAGAGGAACTGTTGGATTGAATCCCCTCCCTGTGACCAGCCACACACTTTACATAGGATCAATAAAAAGGTACAGGATTTTTCAAACACATACTCAAATACTGCATCTGCTTATTAGATGCTGCAAACAATCCTCCTTCCCCCATATAAAGATAGTTTTTATGTCTCCCCAGAACTTAGGCTTTCAGATTAATTAGTTTAAGGGAAAGGCAAAGATCTGTGCACTGTGATGAACTGGGGCAACACACAATGACTTGGACATAAGCTCATTTATTAGCAAAGGTATCCCCTGTTCTTCTTTGTAAATGTCTCTCTTTCACAGTATTAGTCATTCAAAAGACTGGAAAGAAATATCCCTCACCCCCATCCTCCTTTTTTTCCACCTTACTATATGATAATGGACAACAAAATGACAACAATTACAACAAAACCTCTCATGTCAGCAGCTAGAAACCCCCTACCTTGCTTGAAATTTATACCAGTGTGAACGCAGGACCTCAATTTGCCTTCTTACTTTCACTACCTAGTGAAATATCAGTGTAGAAACTACACTGTTTTGAATTCCTTCATAATAGAACCTTTTCACACCTCAAGGCTATGGGTATTTTTTACACGTGCTTGCTCCCGTTCAAATAGGTATGATATGAAGCATATCATGACATCTGTAATAAAAATGACAGTTATGATAGGGACATTCAAATCCTTGCTGAGACGTAATGAAGGTAGATTACCCTCTTCTAGGGAAAACAATTACTCCTTTCTTTTAAATTTGTGACTCATATATATATGAAACCATAAACATGTACATGAAGTCAAGTCCAAAAAGAAATTAAAGCAGCAATTTTTGTACTGACTTATATAGACTAAACGTCAGCTCTGAGAGTCAAGTGCAAGTCACTTCTGTCTTGACTGAAAAGCCCAAGTTAAGAGCCCTTCAATGCAACCTGCTCAGTATTGCCTTTTTACCTTCAGTCGCAGGGGCAGCTCTTCAGGAGTCTTCCCTGCCAATTCATCATCTTCCTCTTCGTGCACTATCAGGTTCGATGGGATGATTCCCTTTGCGTACTTCTTGGTAATTTCAACAAAGTCATCCAAAGCAATAAATTTTTTAGCTAAAAGATAAAATAAAGACATTGAATAAACAGCATCACTACACCACCTTATGGATTATGTGTTGGAATATTGATTTTCCTTCCTGGTAGTACAAAAAAACCTACTCTGGGCTTCAAAAACTGAACTATGGATAACAGAGGATTACTTCTGTTATGGCTAACAAGGATTACCTTGCCACTTGTTCTGACACCTGTGCTGAAAACAAGCTGCTTGTGCCAGAAACATATGGCTACTCTAAATCTTGTCAATCAGCAGGTAAATTTATTATTCCAGTAAGCAGGAGAACAGAGAGTGTGAACGTAGCTTATCTGCAAGTATTCCAAGGAAAAAAAAAGACTACTGGATTAGGTCAAACAGTTTTAAATAATAAGATGTTATATCTTTTACAACTGCTTGAGAGCAATCTTTACCCAACAGCCACATTGAAAAGAAAGAATTGTACAGGAACAGTAGTGAAATATCTGTATGTTATTAACTGAAAACCTAACTTCTGATTTGGCGTTTAACATGTTGTCATTTTTCTGAGTTTAGAAGTCACAGACATATAATTATGGGAAATGCCCAATTATTCACATCTACAAGACTAAATATAAATTATTTACAGTGTATTAATTTACTATGCTGTGTGGCTATACAAATGGCCTCCCCCAAACTATATTAACACCATCACCTGTGATCTAAACCAAACAGGCAGCAACAAAATACTTCTCCTAGTTGTGCACAGAGACAAATTTACCACTCTGCCCTGAAGATCCTTACCCACTCTTGTGAGTGGAAAGGAGACAAGAGGTTACTTCTGAAAACTGTAAGGATGCTGCAAGACAGAAGATGATTTATACACAGCTCCAAACTCTGCACAGCCAGTTCCTTACATTAGCATGGATTAGCCCATTTCTAGGGTAGACAAGCTTGATGTCGTTTGTGAAGAAGGATAATTAGCAGCAACTTTTTTCCATACACTAAAGCAAATGACATTGCTGTAGATATGAAAGACTTTTGAATGACAAAAATCTGTAACACAACTCCTACACAGTAAATTTAGCTAGTCAGCTGATACACAGGTATGAAAGCTAGCCTGCTTGGTACTAGTTTGAGATCTTAAAGATACAGAAATCTGAATGGCTGCACTATATTTAAAATCAGAGAAATAGTGGGTTTGAGCCTATTAATAAATTATTTTAAATGTTACATTTATATAAATTACATAGGAACGTATCAGTATTTAGTATTGAAAACACTGTAGATACAGAACAAAATGAAGTATCTGTGGCAAGATACCTGCTATAGGAAGAAGGGTGTTAAAAACTTCAACAGAAAACCAGCAGCTTACAATCTATCTATCCTTTGCTTTAGCCTCGCAACATGAATGTTGCCTTTTGCTTGGGCTTTTACCCCCCCCCAATTGCATGAACCCGTACGTCCCACAAAATACGATCTGGCATGGCTCTAAAGAATCAAGAAAGGATTTATTTTTGCTAACTATTCATACAATTCACAGACTGAAAGGCAACAGCACTTGCACCAAGAAGTCAGTGAGACACCTTAGCTATCTTGGTGGGGTCCAGATCAAGCCTAATGCCAAATTTGTCATCTAAATTTATCGTCTTCATGGGAAAAAATATACAGCGGTAAGATAAGTCTTTCTGGTGTGGAATCAGCAAGCAGACATGGTTAGAACCTCACAAAAATTCCTTTACGGCACTTTCACAGGGCCATGGGACATCCTGAGAGGGAAGGAGTTATTAACTTACTATGTATAGATGCCCTGTCAAATGTAATGACAAGTATACTCTCAGGCACGCAACAACTGTCCGCTGACAATGTCAGATCTAATCTTCTGTTTATACCTCCACTAAGGATAGCCCAGACCAGATATCTGCAAGCACATATCTGGCTCAAAAATTATCTTCCAAGTATCGGCAATGTATTAAAACTGAAGGAAAAATCTCCTGCTAGCAAGATGAATGGAGAAACTCAGTGGATCAGAGAAGTAAATGCTGTCTTGTTCATCCACGAAAAGATAAAAGCTCTCCAGAGAAGAGGTAACAGCTTAACTCCTACTTCAAGTGTTTGATGAAAACTTTTCGTTTTTAAATGTTATTAGTATTTTGTCATCCAAGTGTCTCTAAAATTGATATGAAAAGCGTATGTTGTAGATCCTACTTTATTATTCACAGATTTTTTTTCTTCAATTTGGTTCTGACAAATTCCCCTGCCTCCCCCATCCACCATAGAAACATGAAAAATATGCACATCAATTTCTGCCTACACTTACATGTAGGTTCATTTACTCTCTGTTATTTTATCTGCCATTTAAGCCTTCAAAAAAAAATTTATTTAAAAAATTGCCAGTTCCTTTTCTGACACTCTCTGAAGAATCCAGAACAAAATGACTCGCTTTGCACTTGCTCTATCAGCATGTGCCTGTCAGCTAAGGGATGGAAAGAACTAGTGTGTCCACTAAGCACCAATGCAACATGGCTCCAATGAACCCATGATACAGTGACTGAACGATGAACCACAACAGTCTCACCCTTGAAGGACTATTTCTAGCTTTCCACAAGTAGCAAACAAGTCACAAGAACAGCTGACCTCCTCTTGCACAAGTTTTGACAGGACCAGAAGCACAATCTCCAAAATACTATTTTTCCCATCACCTACTTCTTTACCCACATACACAGGCCCATGTTCCTCCTCCTGTTTTACTTCTGTGAAAGTTAATGTGAAACTGAAATATGCCACTCTTAGGAATGTTATTTTCAGAAGTCACCTGTATAGTGAATGCAATCCTTGAAGGTGAAGGCCAAACTGACTTAATGAAACATACATCTGATCTTGCAAGGCATTTAAACCTGCAACCCCCCAGATTTGGTTCACTAATCCACATACAATGCTTTAATTACATGTATTCTCAATTACAGATGTACTAGTAAGTAATATGCTTTGCAATATTTAAAAGTGCTCTTCAAAAACTCATCCAGATTGCACATAAACTATTTCATATGACCTCTGCATTTCAAGGAAGTGAGATTTTCCAAACAATGATTAATCAAACCTTATGTTAGATAAACTTCTTGAAAAACTACACATGCTGCATTGTTTAGAATTCATTTTCTTAATATAACAACTTGACTTTTCTCTTGAAGTCCCAGCAGCATTTCTTAGGTATGCAAGGCTAGGGAGAACTTGATTTCAACTCCAACCTCCCACCACAACATACCTTGTAAAACTCACAGATTTGCATCTACAAATCTGACTCTGTGTGTGTTGAGTGATTTAGTTCTCTCCGCTACATGAACTATCTGCTGCTAAGTTATGAAAGAAGTATCTTGGTGCATTGCATCTTTCCTACATTATTTCTTGAACAAATATGAAAAGACAAACATTCATTACAGGAGAATGGCAAACAGAAGCAAGGCAAATAGAATGAGGGATCTGTCTGCGTTAAATGGTTGCATAATTAATTTCCATCTTGTAATCAGAAAGGTTACTACAGTTTAAAAGAAAAATGGAAGTGCAAAAATTTTTTCAGCTGAATAGACTTCTAAGTGCTGAAAGGGCAAGAATATAAAAGTAACAATTGACATGCAAACTCCTCTTAGAATACTAATCACTGACAAGATGACTGTAATGGTTAAGTCTTCTGTAACATCACATCCAGACCAGTTATTTACCATGCACATATAATAAATTGACACTGTCAGTTTACATCAAATCAAACTTGCTATACCTCCCTATTCTGGCAGCAAAAAATTGCTTAGCAAAACAAAATAGAAACCAAAACCACAGGCAAAGATTGAAAGCAGCAGCATGCACTCACATTCACAGCTCACTAATCGCTCCAACATTCTTCTCTGCTTCTGCACTGACTTTGGGAGTGGGCCAGGTTGCTTCTCACCATCTGGTTTGATAACAGAAGTTTACGGAAAAATCAAAGCAGTCAATTAAAGAGATCGAAAAATAACTGGAATGTTCTTCAAACTGCGATACCTGGAGAATGGTATTTTCTCAAAGTCAGGAAAAAGACAAACATACATTTAAACAGGTAAGGAGTGGCTATAGAGCTTTCTACACCTCTATCACTGTATTAGAAAAGGGAATAGCAATGATATAGTTAACATATACTGCTGTAATGGCAGAGTGAGAGAAGTGTCTTGAAGACTGGGTTTGTAAATTGAAATACTTAGTCAAGATATTATCAGGATGACTGTTAAGGGATAAATAAGTAAATAATCAAACCTAGTAAAGCCATTAAAAATTATTTTCCAAGGACAGCAAGTGCCAAATGAAGATATTTTTAATGTTTGGTCACTTGAATGAGTGCTTAACTGAATCACAATAGCAAGAGTTGGCAGGCCTTTATGAACTAACTACTGGTCCAGAGAGCACAGTTACTAAACGAGTTACAAGTTGTTAATGTTACTTTTTCTTAAGTAGATCATACATTTACTGTTATCTCATATCTGATTGTTTATAAGGCCCTTTAAGTTTTTAGCTGTATTCTGCCTATCAGTCTGTATTTTAGCAATACCACAAATCAGTTCATAAACAAACCTTCATTGTCAACTTGTCCAACATTTTCCAGTAGTTCAGAAACTGCTAATTGCTTCTTCTTTTTCGGGTTTAATTTCCAATACATGACTAAGGCAGCTTTCCTCACAGCTCTCTCCAAGTCAGTCTCAGATGATAACTTTTTCACTTCTTGCTCATTCTCAGAAGTGATACCTGAAGAAAAGAAAAACACATTACATACTATTATCCCACCCCCATGCGGCAATGACAGATTTGCCCACAATTTATTTTTCTCACTTTAGACTAGAACTTCGCAAGTTTCATCCACATCTTGACCACTTAAGTAAATTGCACAAATGCACTCTGTGCCCACTGCTTATTTAAATCTAATCACATTGCTTAAGTTTAAAATGCACTCCAAAGACTGTCCAAGACATGCATTATCCTTATGTCTTGCTTCAATTTTTTTGGGTTTGTTTTGGTTCCCGCCTTCTCCTCCTCCTCCCAGCCCCCTCCATAAATAAGAGTTCAGATAGTTCACAGTCAAGAGGAGACCATTCCAAGCATGGGAAGTAGCACAAAGGAAGGTATGAACCTTTAAGTGGGAGAAGACAGTGAAAAAGACCAACTAGGAGTGGGGCTGGAGAGGGGCAAAAGAATGAAACAAGATCAGATATGTAGGTGGTGTGTCATTATATACTGCCTTCAAGGTCAAAGAAAACCAAGCTGCAATGAAAGGTGGGGAGGGGAAGAACAAGCATGAATTCCACTGAGGAATTCAAGCAATTAATCAATATAAATGCTTTTATGAGCAGTATTGGTAATTAACACTTTTTAAATACCTATTTGAACAGGCTGCCAGCAGCTACTCACATACTTTTGCCATGAACATTCCCATCTTATTTTAACCCCTCTTTTCAGTGTTACAATAAATATACTATTACTTCAGATAAAGTGGGAAGCGCGAGCAGGAAGTCTCAGAGAATCCATACCTCTTCTGTCTGCCAGGCATCTACGCAACAGTTTGACAGCTTCTCTTCGACCCTGCTTAGCAGCAAGGATGAACCAGTCAACTGCACTGCAATTGTTAAGTTCTTCATCTTCCTCTTCTGCTAATCTTAAGAAGTGTTTCCCCACCTACAAGAAGCAGGGAACAGAATTCCTTCCATTATTGAAATATACTCTGTCTGTCTCCTCCCATGCCCTGGAACTCAGCTAGAGTAAATTCTCTCTAAACAAAATATTTGCTCCTAGCACTAAAGAACAAAGCTGTTCATCAATCTTCTGTAGGGAACATCAGTTTCCAGAACTGGAAGCAAGAAGCAATCGCCACACATTTGGCTGGGTCAATGAATTAGTTGCCATTGGTCTTTGGGCATCTAGCAGGATCAGGGAGAGCTCCTGAACTCTAAAAGTTTCCTGAGTTTCCAACGGTCAGACAACACTGCTGGCCTCATTCCAGAAACATAAAAATTACATGTAATAACCTGGTGCCAGTGACACTCAGGAATTCAGATGAAGTTGCTGACAAAGGGCCTTACATGGAAGGAGTTTTCAGCAGTGAAATCCCTGACTCATGGCAGTTTAACCACTGAAGGTCAAAGCAAACTCATGATTAATTGCTGAATGGAATAAAACTGCTTAAGCATCAAGCAAATTCAGTGCAATAGCCTGTAAAAATCCTTCTATTCAGGATTACAGAAATTATAAAGCAGTTGCTTTTATTACTGTTTTACAGATAAGAAAAACACACCACCTTTCTACTTCCACAAAACTGAAACACATAGTAATATACTAGTAAATATATATATATGTAATAGTATGAACCACTTCTGCTTATCATACCATAAGGCAACAAAACAGCGAATGGCAGAAAACGGCCAAAGCTACCGGACATGTTATCTGCATGCCTGGAGAACCTAGAAATGCTTTTGTTTGGCTCACTGTACCCCTCTCTCCCTGCTGTTACTTGAGTTACATTCTAAGAGCAATTAACGCAATACCTTAAGAGATCAGCTCCATCAGGCTACAGCATTGTCTGCTGAAAATACCTGTCTGATAGTTTCTCCAACTCTGCCTTTGATGTTGCCACTAAAGGTGACTAAAGGAATACTTCTGAAAGATTAATAATCCAAACAAGTCCCATGTAGATTAAACACACTGGTATAATCAAAAAGATCTTTTTCTTCCAGTAAAGGTTAGGTCTCCGGTTTTTCAGCTGTTTCCTACACTTACCTGAGTGCTCCAACAACACAGATAGCTATTGGGTAGACATCATAGTGTCACTGTATGTGCTGTGAAGCTACTCAAAACCATACAAAATAAGAAAAGAAATTGGACTAAGTAATCCAAAAGTCAGAACACAACACTGATTACAAAGTCACGCCAGAGTTCAACAGGGAGCACAGGGATATAGTTGCAAACCAAGAAGAGAGCATGAGATGGAAAAACAAAAACAGCAACAAAAAAAGATTTCAGCAATTGCTGGGTAATTTATCACCTTTATCACCCAACCGCAGATATGACTTCAGCTATTTATTTTACAAAGGAACTGCTTGAACAAGTTAGATGGTAAACAACATCCTCTGACAAGAACAGCTTTCTTGAGCATGTTTATACCGATAGCTATGGATACTGAGCAAAGCTTCAAGGGTAGCAGCACTTAACGATGCAGTTCTTTAGTTCATAAAGATCTCCTGGATATAGAAACTCGCATTACAACATCAGTTCGCAGATTCTTCAATCAGTTGTATTGCACGAGGCTACTGCACAAGCAAGTATACAACTAGTATATAACATAACACCTATTTTATGACAGAAGTGGGTTTATGTTTGTCTTGTTTGGTATTTTTGGGGGCGTTCTGAGGGTTTTGGGAGGTTGTTTCTTAAGTTTAGCATTAAGATTTAATCATCAAAATTAGTCCCTCAAAAAAATCCAGAAGAACCCACCCCAAAATCAGAACCACCAGAAAATATTTTCCCTTTATTTGGATTATAAACTTATAAGCTTTTGTGTATGTTAAAAGTTCTGGTAGGGGAAAAAAACCCAAAACCAACCACATCTCCAAGCCCAGCAACAAACATCAAGGTTTTCCACGAAATATTACTGGAAGGTCCACCAGCTCCCTCAATAAGCCCTGTGCAACAGTCACCTTTCACTGTCACAGCAAAACCACCTGAAGATGGCTGCAAAGTTCTGCCCTGCAGCAATACAGGAGGAAGAACTGACAGGAAAAGGCGTTAACCTCAAATTTATCATTTAAGCAGTCAGGGATAATCTCTTTTGAGCTAAAACTGTGAAATGCAGTCATAGCTGACAATGGCTTAACACAGATCTTCATATTGTACTTCTCTAAAGGCTGGTCTCACCTGTGGGCTTTGCTCACTGAGGTGGTTATCTCTAGAAGTTCCCTTGCAGAGATCCTCCAGTTAGCTGGAGACTTAAAGACACAGAGCTGCCTTTCTCCATAACAGAATTCCACCTGTGGGTGTCTCATGTACATAATTGCTATACAGTTATTTCTCAATAAACTAACTGCATAAAGCTAGGTAATACAGGTTGACAGCCACTCAGAGTGTATTTATCTCCACAGTCACTGCATGGTTATTTTTTAACAAACTCATAGTAATAACTATAAGCCAGTGAACAGAGTGATTTCTTGTGTTTGACTTTGTAATTATTATCATACAGCACAACAGTACCATCTCAGCTTCTCATTCGTACTCCTACAAAGGTAAGAAATCAATCTAGGTTTTTCTAACTTATTCTAAAGGGATGTATACAACAATAGAGAAGAAATAAATTTTTTTAGGGTTTTGAAAACTAAAAGTTAATACTCTTTCCACAAGTGACAAGACATTTGATTGCATAGAGAAGAAATGACTGTATTTGGGATTCCTTTTCAGGCAGTCAATTCATCCTGAGTGCATACTGAAGCAAAATTGTATGCTGGATATCTTTACGACAAGAATCCTATTATTGTGTGGGAATAGAAAGTGAACACAGTCAAAGATCTAAAGGAAGAGAGTGAAGATGGAATGAATTGAGAAGGAAAAAAACCCATTATTTATATACATACATATGCACACATCATTGACTTAGACAGCCCCATAAATATTCCTTCAGGATTTAACTTCTAGTTAAGAAAATTTGTTATGTAATCTTTCCTTTGTGTGGAGGAGTAGAGCCAAATGTGGATTTCACAGCAGTGATTCCCTCAAAGCTAAAGCTTCATCCTCCGCAAATTCACCGGCTGTTTCAAAGGTGAGGAATTTATTACTCTCAGATTACAACTCCAAGGACAGTCTGCCCCTCAAACAAGTTGAGACCGAAGTGGAGAGTGAGCCCGGTGCTGCCACGTTGAGGTTTTTTTTTTACCAGCTTTAAAAGGATTTCTTGACCGTCCCACCTTCTATTTTATTTGCAAAATGAGTGGTAATCCTTGGGGAAAAAACCCAAACCATCACTAAGCGTGCAGGAGACCATAACCACTCCCTTTTGCCAGCAAAGCTGGGGCTGGAAAAGGAAGAGGAAGTAAAACACTAACCAAGCAAAACATGAATTAGAACTCCTTGAAACAATTTTAAGCTGTTTATACTAGACCAATACAGCAGACTATGGAATGCAGTGGAAAACTGGTACATTTTTTCTAAAATCTAAGGGACAGCTAAAGTGCTAAGACATAGAGGCTACCGTTAGTAAAGAAATTATATCTGCCATTACACAACTAAACATAGCTGATTTCAAGAAACAAGCAGGGGCTTCTCTTCTAACGTGTTAATTCAACAGAGAAATGCTGTAAGAGCAAAACATCAACCAACCTCTGCTCCTGCTTATGCACCTCAATGGCAGTTTACTCCACAGACTTCAGCCTAAGAGTCCTGTGATCTCTGTATATAGTGGTTCAGTGCTGAACCAACGGCATTTAACAGTCCCTATCTGCACTCCTCCACAAGTAACTTTGGCATGTGCAGTTCTGTCCCTTCTCCATGCTCTCAGCCTACTCTCCCTGTTTTCACATGCAGCCTAAAGGGTTAGTCAAGAGTTGGACCTGAAGCCAGTAACACTCCCAAACAAGCAGCATTTCTCCAGGCGGAGAAACCATCTGGCATCACCTTTCTTTGAACAGTTTAAGAACAAAACAGATACAAGTTCAACAAAAGAAGAGAGAACACTTCTTCAGCAGGCAGTGCTATTTTTAAAATTAAGAGTAAACAAGACAGGACAAAGAGAACATAAAATTACCTCTGTCTGTGCTTTTGGTTCTCCAGCTTTGGCCCTCTCAAGTAGTTCCTCGAAATGCACTTCAGGTTCTTCCTTCATGCCCTCTATAAATTAATTTGATAAAGAAAATTGTTTACTAGCAATATTCAAAAGTATTATCTAAATAACTGCTGTATGTGGTTGAAGAATTAAAGGAACATATCTCAAAAATCCAACACGAGTGTTTCGCAGTAACAGTGGAAATTAACTCATTACAATATTTACACTCCATCTCAGTTGTTGTACTTCAACATATTTACCATTACATGTTATCTGATACCAGCCACAGAATGACACAAGGTTTACAGTTTCTCATTTACTTCCACAAAATTCATTTCTCAACAGAATACACATTATGATAAACATGAGCACATGTGGAACATGTAGTACAGAACAGCTTTGGTACTACTGCTGCTCCTATTCTTAATAGCATTTCACTCTTTCAGCTGGCAGCCTCTTTATTTAGCAGTGGAGCCTTTTCAAGAGTTTTGAAAAATTAACCAGCCTTTAAACCATGTCCAGTATATTTGAAGGCTCAACTCCTCAACTCCAGCATCATACAGAAACTAACAGTGATTACACCTTATAAACTTACTTTGTGTCTAGGTCCACACTCACAGCTAATTCTTTCCTCCTTTCCTATCTACCACACACATACAGACTTAAATATTTTTTTCTTCAAAAGCATCATATTGCTCCACCAATCATAAAGAAAAAAAATTTGAGAGCTTTATCTGACATCCACTAAAGATCATCATGCCATACTCTACTTGATGAATGAAGAGCAAATTTAAAGGAAAAGCTGACAAAAGCCAAAACTGCTACTTTTCATAAGATGACTTCTCATTAATTGGTTTGGAAGAATTTTGAAGAGAAAAAAAATAATACAACTTGTACACTTTAAGTTGATTAAGTGTAAGAAAGGACAACATACTAGTGATTCAGAGTAACAGCTTTACCAGCCAACATGAAATTGTAGTTAGAAAGGAAGACACAAAATCAACAGCAAGTGCCAAAGCTTGACCCGTACATACCACAGGACCCCACAAGCTCATCAAACACACCATTGATGCTTGATAGCTACATACAGAGGGCACAGACGGCATGAGAAACTGCGGTTGGGAAGAATTCCCAAACACAGGAAACTGAGAGCAGCCTTCAGGCATCCACTCAAAGTTTCAGATTTCATTCCCTACCTAATTTGGGCAGCAGCAACACAGAAAGTGGGTAAGCAGCCCTGCTAGCTGAGGTGCCATTCTGTATGTATCCACTATTTCTCAAAGGGTGGGGGGCAGCAAGGAATAAACCCCATTCCACATCATCTCCCAAAGAACAGGGCTACTTACATTCTTTAGCATCCCTGGTACTGGGAGTATTTCCAAACAAAAACAGGCTGCTAGCCAATGCTTTCATTAAAATGGGTGTATTTTAACAAAAGCAAACCATGAAGTAAGTTTTCTCCTTCACCATGCCACAGTTTTGTCTGCCAAGCTCCACTTGGAAAAATACTAATGCCAGATTATAACATGTTATCTGGCTAAACAAGGCACATCATGAAAAATAATTTTCATTTAGTACTTGGTCTTTTCAGAAAGCTGTAAAAATATTATCGTAAAACAGGCAAACAGCATCCCAGCAAAATTAACCACTTATCTCCTTGCCCTGATATATAACCTACAGGATTGACCTCCAAACAAGTCATAAGCCCATTTTCCAGATGGCACCACTCACACCAGCAGACATCATTCAGGGGCTCTCTGCTAACAATAAACAAGAAGCTACAAGAAAGAGTATATTGTTTGAAAGAAACATAATAGTCATCCATTGACCCCACCCAAATTAAAAAAGTTGGGCAAGGCAATACTTTACTGTTTCTCCCTGTGCTTTCACATTCATTAACTTCTTTTGCATCAAAATTTCAGCAGCAACTGCCTCTGCGATGCCTTTTGTTCTGTTTTCTACATGTTGAGAATACAAATATTTTGGTGATACTCTGGATAAACCAATGTAGAAGGCACCATTCAGAAGCTAGTATTTGCTAATTAGAATTGAATTTATACATACACAAAAAGCAAACTATAAAAACCCGTTTGCTAAACTGATATAAGCCCCAATAAGAAAGGCAGTTCTCTGCCAGCTTATACAGGCAAAGGATCTTCCTTTCTCTCCTGCTCCACTTGCCACACATAGGAGCATGGCATGGTTCTGATCCCTTCCATCTCTTACTACTCAGATGAATGTCTTTTAGATAAGAACACTTGTTACAATAGAAAGCTGTAAAGCATTCCCATTTTGTTTCTTCAATACCAGGATATAGTGACTTCATTGTAATTACATTGCAGATGAACATGTAAATAATGTTCTTTGCAAAGATAGTAAGATAGTAAAAAAAAAAGAAAAAAGCAAAATTAAAAAGGTGCAGCCTTATGGTCCAACTACCACCTTCAGTGGGAAAAGAAAATAAAATGTGCTGGTATTGCAGCAAACTTGTCGAAATGTTTGTTCAAACAGCACTGATTGCCAGGAGAAAATGCTTCCTGCTGTTATTTTCAACCTACTGCCCTATCCCTCCCACCCAGTTACCACTTCTATGTACTCTCACATGTGACCTATAAATATAAATCACAGATAGTTAATTAAAATTATGTCTGTGGGTTTGTTCCATAGTTGAAGGGCAAGGGTGGAAGAGCAGGTTGTGGAATGTTTTGGAGATCAAATTTAGAATAGCTTAGTATCATAGTGTTCCCATGATTATGCTATTTTGCTTGAAGGATAAGCAAAAAGATAAAGCATGAATGACTCCAGCTTCACGGCTGCTGTATCAACTCACTTTCTGATAAAGTTCTGAGGTCAGCCTCAGAAGGCTAAGGTCCAAAACACAGTCAAAGTGTGTTATGGAACGAGGATGGACAACACACATTTTCTTTCAATTTAGCTCAACACTAGAAAAAATACTATACAAGAGTAAACACACTCACCACATAAATACCATAAAAAGTGGTGATCTTGAGACTTATCTCCCTTGTTCTTAAGCATGTTTTTAGTCATAAAATGTCTTGATGTGTATTCCTCCCACATAAGAGTACTGCAGTGCAAATGCTGTCAGTAGAAGCTTTTATTTTCCAGCTTTGCTAAAAACTCATGTCTTCTTAATGTCAAATTTTACTCTGTCTTGAATATGAAAATTTCCAGAAGAGAGGAACATTCATCTTACAATACTTCATGTATATTTTATGACAATTAAAATAGACTTCAGTAGCTGTTGTGTGTCAGGTGCATTTATATAAGCCAATGAAGTCTATCAGTTATTCAAGGCTCACAAGCACTGCAGTCATTCAAATGAAAGCAGTCAGCTAAGAGCACACAGGTTTTAAGTGGCACGTAACATTCATATAAGAAAAAATACAGGACAAGGACATGGAAAGGTGGTTAGTACATAATACTTGGCTGTAGTTCTTCCTCTGCTACCACAACCCTGTGTAAACCTTAGTTCATCACCAGGCTGCTCTGTGGTTCAGTTCCCAATTAGATTAATTTTACCTTCATAGAGACAGATCACTCAACACAAACTGTTCAGTGGATACTGGAACAATGACATTATTAATAAAATCTAATGTTTTGGTTTTATTATTCTGTGTGATTAAGTCTTAAGCTTAAGATATGAAATGATAGAGTATCCTTTCATTTCCTCAGTTCCACTCTGGAAAAACCCCAATTATTTGTGATGCACAAAGGATAAAGCAGATATATTCCCAAGTCTGCTGCATTTATGTCCTCATACTACAGAAAGCATTTAAACCTCTGAAGGGCTACAGAAATACCCATTTCTGATATCCAGGCTTTTAATTTAATAGGTCAAAGCTGTCACTTAAAACCAATTTTATTAAAGCACTTATTTAAAAAGACTTAGTACAATGAAACTGACCTGTTTGTTTCACTGTCAGATACAGCATTTAGAACAGTAAGTTAAAACCGCACATTATTAACTGACGGACTTCAAAGGTGCCATCAAAATATTACTAGAGCTATTTCTGTTTACGAGTAAAAAGTATGTTTTACAGCTCCAGGAAAAATACTCAGAATACGGAAGTCTAAACACAGCTGTTTATATAGGTAGATTGTAAACAGGCTGATGAATACTTATGATTACTATTTACTTTCTGAAACTTTACACGTTACTTAGCACATTGACTACATAAATTAAGATTCCAGCTTTGCTGCTATAGGCTTAAATGGAATTTAGCATCCATTTCAGCATAGGCAGGCATTTTCACTGCTCCTGTTAGGTTCTAACCAGAAATAGGAAATGCTGCAAAAGGAAACATTTCAGATTTTTCAAGAACATTATGTAGTACTATGTTAGGATTCAATCATTGTCCCTTACCTCTGACATTTAGCAATCAAATTGACAAAAAGGCAGTTAATCCATAGTAGGGGATTAGTTGAAGTGAGATTGCAAGGTATCAGTGTTTAAAACTGTCAAGTCATAAAATGAAGCTACCATCACTGATTAAATAACACATACAAACCTGATTTTTGGACTACACCAAGGACTGAAATGGAATGAACTCTTCAACATTCATACAAGGTTTTGAAGAACGGATTTACAAAATCTATGTAAGAAATCCTTTCAATGCAAAAGATTTGTAGACAACCAGAGTACACTGTAGTTGTCATAAGATTTCCTTCCCACTATTGTAGCACAAATCAATGACAGATGCAATAAATTCCCAACCTTTCTAATACCCTTAACACAGAAAACTGAAACACATCGTCTGTACAATGCTGCAGTTAGGTTGACTTGATGCAAAGTGTCTAATGACACATTTACTGTTTTACACACACTTTAGACAAGCATCATTTCAACAAAAATAGCATTTTAAATGACACTCTGCATAACGCTTCCATTCACCAATTCTAAAATACTTAAAGGCACATATACAATAAGCCTTCAGTGCAAGGAAAGATCTTTATTTGTATATATACATAGACAGTAGACCATACACACACATCCATCACATAAAACAACCGCAACTTTCTAAGTGCTCTTCTAACTGCTAGGGAT